TGTTGTTGGCTTTAGTAATTTTTTTTTAATTATTTTTAGTCAATTTTTTTAGATCACATAACTTAAATGAACCTAAAAGGTAAAATATGTGTGGAAAAATCTTTTTTAAAAAAATTAATAAATAAAAAAAATATATTAAAATTTTGTATTTAGTGAATCTGAAAAAAATTATAAATATTTTATTTTTTAAGTGCATCTCAAATATAAAAAAATATTAAAATATTTAAAAGTTTACAAAAATAGGAAATTAAAACAAACAAAAAAAATAACAAACACGTTACAACATACGGTTTTGGGGACTAAACTCTTTTGTCAAAATTTTGTAATGGTAGTTCAAAAATAAAATTTTATCTAAAACAAAAAATTTTGAAGTGGCGAATTATTTATTTATTTTTTTTAATTTCGTTTAATTTTTTTTTTGAAAATCTGCCGAAAACAAATTTTGAAAATCAAATCAAATTAACTTCATCCAATATTTGGTAAAATACAATTATCACTAAATTCTTACATAAAATTATTTAACTGTAATAGTATCGTAACATAATGTCTACATTAATTAAATTAAAATGATGATTAATTTCCCCTCTTTAAATTAGACGACATTCACACTAAAATTGGGTTCCAAAAATTTGCTTTCCTTTGGCACTTTTTTTTTTGTTGGTTTTTTTTTTGACTAAATTATAAGCACATCATTTGAAATTTATTTAAAATATGAATTATTTTCTCTAGTTTAAAAAATCACAAATATACTATTGTTGGAATTTTTTATTTAATAGAATTAATTAAAAAACAAAATTTTAACTATTCTCCTATACAATGATAAAATTACTTGAATTATTAATTAAAATAAATTGCTAATATCATTAAAAATTGTTAGTTGATTTGATAATTTATTAATAAAAATGACTATTTGTTATAAAATTAGAAATTTCAAAAGGTGGGATATAATTTCTAAAATTATAAAGGGAGATCCTATTTTAAGCTAACTTAAAAGATGGTACATTTGTAATTTGGGCAAATTACACTAATGGTCCATGTAGTTTGGGATTTGTGTTACTTTGATTCTTGACCTTTTGATTGTGATACATTTAACCTTGTATTTCGAATATCATTTTAAATAAGGATAATTGAAGACATTGTTACTCCATTTGAAAGGCAAAATCATCAATTTGATAAAATATAAATAGTTTGACAAAAATAAATGTCAAAAAAATATTTTTAAATTTATAAAAATTATTTCTATCCACCAAATATAAAATTATACATAAAATGATAAATCTTTTATATTTTTATATTTTATTTTTTTTACCAAATCAATTTTTAGTATGTATTTGGATGATGATCATGTAATGTGTGGTTATTTTTGTTTGATATTTTTGGATGATTATCCTGTAATAGATAGTTAAATTTTTATGAATAATGGTATATGTATTAATTAGTATACTAACAGATAATGTGACATAATTTTAGAAGATTTTGGTATTTGTAATTTGTATAATAGGTGGTGTCATTAATAATATAACACTCGTTGATACACTAGTGTATATATTAATTGGTGCATGTAGCACCACCGAATTTTTATTAATAGATATTTTTAGATATTTTTGGATAATTATTATAGAATAAATGATTATTAGACTTTCAAAGTGTAATTAATATGTTTAATATATTAAATATTTTTAGTTTTGGATTTTTTGATTTAATAGATTGGTTTAATGACGGCATCAAAATTGTCTCCATGTTTGACTTTTGAAAAAATAAAAATTAATATAACTAAAATAAATATAAAAAATTATTTCTTTCCTATCAAAAGATAAAATTATATAAAAATGAAGTGTTTTTAATTTTTTTCACCAATTTAATTTTTAGGTTCTTAGAAAAAAAAAAAATCAAAATAGATTATAAAAATCAAACCAAATAGAACTTTATAATTAAGAAAGTCTCAACGTTATTCATTAGAAACGACCGTTACATTTTAAATAACATACAAGTTAACCAATATAAAATAAATTATATGGCAATTTTATCCTTAAAATGGACCATTTACAAAGGAAACATATTTGATTGTTCTTGTTTAGAGTAAGATTTAAAATTCAAAATCAAGTGTATCACAATTAAAAAGTCAGTGATCAAAATGACATAAATTCCAAATTATTTGACCTGATAATTTACTATTTATTTATTTAATTTTTCTAGTCTTAGGGGTTGTTTGGGAAGTGTTAGATTAATATATTTTTTGAATTTTTATGAAAAATGTGAAATATGAGTTGGGTTTGAAGTAATGCAGTAGAGTGGTGATGTAATCCAAATAAAATGATTGTGACCCAAATAGAAAAATGTGTTAAAATTCATAATTATTATATTTTTTAAATATATTATGTTAGGTTTGCCTAATATTTACAAATATTTAAAAAATTCAGTGACGATAAAAAAAAATTAAAATAAAAATACAGAAAACAAAAAAAAAAGTAAATTTTCTTAAAGGTGAATTTTGGAAATCAAAACCAAACTGAGTGATTTCTATTTTAGGTTTTGGTTCAGTTTTGATGAAGATTTATGTGGGTTGAATTTCAGTGGATTGTGAATTATTTTTTCTGGTATTGTAGCTTTACATCTTGTTATTTGTTTTTATTTATTTTATATTTTTCTACTCTACTTGTAAATTGAATTTTGATATCCTATAAAGCAACATGATCAGATTTTTGTCTATTTGAATTATTGTAGTGATTTAATTTTGTCTATTTGAATTATTGTAGTGATTTATTCCTATCTTAATTTAAGTGAATTTTGCTGATTATACATGGAATTCTTGTCTATTTCTCCTCTTTGTTCCGAATTTGTTGTTTCTCCTTCTCTCCTTCTGATTTTTTTGTCTGTTCTCTTGCACTCTATCATCTCTCACTCTCGTCTCTTGCTCTCAAAGAGTTGTTGAAGATTTCTGTCTTCTCCAGTAACCTACTGGTTCGAAAGAGTTCTCATTGAAGAGGTATGTCTTGAAATCCCTAAAATCCTATCCTCTTTGTACTTCATTTTATTTTTTCTTAATTAGTAATTTTTCCATCTCTGTTGTCCTTTGTATTGGGTTCCTTTTGGTATCGAGTAAAGTGCGAATGCAATATTTGATTTTAATTAGTATGAAATTGTGACTTTGGAGATCACTTTATAAATTTCTTTTGAGTAGTTGTTTCCGTGGTCTTCTCTTTGTACTATTTTCTATGCACATACCATCAACCATTTTTATTTATTTATTTTTCTGTAGAAAAGATTGCAAAATTCAATTGGGTCAAACTTTTTCACCTTAAAAAAATCCTCAAACAGAGGGCTTAATGTTCTTGATTTCAAATGGGGTTTTTGGGTTTTTCTTGTTTTCAAATGAGTTCTATTATAAGTTAATGTTGCTTTTCGCATTGCAGTAACTGATGGGTGTTATGAAAAAATTGTTTTCCAAAATGGGGAAGTTGGCCTTAGTTAAATAAATTTTTCTTGAATTGCTCGATGAAATGTTTCAAGTAGGCCAACAATTGGGTTGGACAAAAGGGATGGTTTAAGAGTTAAGTTTAATTACTTATTAATAGTAACAATTTCTTTCTCAACCTCTTGTTGTGGGGGGCTCAACCTCTTAATTATTACCAAATTGGCCAATCAAACTTTAGATGTAGTTCAATATAGAACTTTTAAGCATGCGTCCCTTACCCAATGCTTTTTAAAAAGTAATTGATCTAAGATTAATGTTTTATTTGTTATTTTGTGTGCCACTCTATTCAACCAAGTCATGTACGAAAACACATTTGAATTTGAAAAAATGAACACTGAGTGAAAGAGAAGGACCAAAATAGAGGACTATAAAATTGTCAATTTGACCCTCTAAAATGGCTACTTAAGTTGGTCACTCTTAATTTCAATGGGCCAGTAAACTCATTGCCTATAGAATTTAAGATACCAAGTGTCAAACTGTTCGAAATGGTTCGGTTCAGTTCGCAATTTTAAGGCTTTGATACAGTCTTGAACCAAATCAAACCATGATATATTTGTTTATTTTTTCTAATATATTTGTATTTAAAAAGAAGAGTCCTATTTGTTTTGGTTTTTATCATATTCAGTTATGTTTTCTTTTACACTAGATTCACAAGATTGCATAGGATTTTGCACTTTCTTATTTTCATCTTCCAAAGAAAAGGGGATGATATATCCATTTGAATTATTTGTAATTGGATTGATTCTGCCTTATTTGTAATAGAAAATGCTTGGATGAAAATGATAATTCCTTTTATGTTTGGTGTAGAGGAATGATAATTCGTGTCCTTTTTCCTAATATTTGGTTGTAATTGTTGTCACAGTTGTTTTTTGTAGCTCTTTTTATTTATTTCTTTTTAATTGGTCGAAGGGTTGATTTTGGTATCTCCGATTAAGTCTTTACATAATGGTTATTGATACTTCAAATAAATGTATTAAACGTTTCATCTCCTTTATTGCTTATGTGGTTTGTTAATGTGAAAGGATCTTTGCAAAATGATATTTGTCATACATAAATTATTCCCTTTCCTTAAGCATTATCTTCATTACTAACTCTCATTTTCATGTTCTGTTTTATTTTGTTGCAGGTCCTCAATTTGACCACATTTATGTAGAAGTAAAGGTATACCTCCCTCCCCTCTAGCAGTAGCACTGGCTGGTGTGCTAATATATTTGTTTGCTTTTAATTAATAGTTGGGCACTGGTGGGTGTGCTAATTTATTTGTTTGTTTTTAATTGATAGCAGGGCAATGGCGAGGGTGCTAATATAATTGTATTTACAAGGCTTGTGCCTGTGTTCTAGTTTGCAAATGAAAATCCAAAAGTTTTGTTCTTTCACCTAATAATTTTGTTAATAAATAGTTATTTATTCCACTCATCTATATACATTTTTATAAATGTCAATGGCAAGTAGTTATGAAAACATGTTTGCAATTATAGGGTCATGAGACAGTGAAAGCTCCGTCTTTTTATCAAAAGGTTCTCTCTCTCTCTCTCTCTCTCTCTCTCTCAATTTTTACGTTCTTTGCCTTATGTTTGAAGAAAATGTTTGATTTCAATGCATCTTTTTATTCACTAGTCCTTGAATTAGTTGCCTATTGCATGTGTTATTAGATTGTTTACATTATAAGTTTCCAAAAACTCCAATACATGTTTATCCACTTGGGTTAATCTCCCTCTCCCTATATGTATGCATACACTAGCAACATGCTAGCTTGATATGCAGGATTCAACAATTAAATGAATTTGGTGAATTTCACTTTACGATTTACTCCATGTGTAGTTTATCCTTTGATATATGGAAATAAGCACACAAACCCCTATGGTTTGTGATTGCTAAACATAGAATTTGAATTTGAATTTTGAATATATAAGACACTTGTCCGGTGAATATCATAGAGCATTGAAGACATGAAATATGGAAATATGGTTTGAAGATGCATTCGTCTTTAATATTTGAATAATTTGAATCTTGTTCTTATTTATGCAAGCATGCCAATGACATGATATAATCATTAATATTTATTTTTTGGGTCATTTGGAAATGTTAATGTGTTACCAAAAACTGATTCCGAGAAGCAAATGTAGGCTTTAAGTGTTTTTTTATTTATTTACCAGTTTGCATTGTGTATTATATTTCTCAAACCAAAGCATCCACAACCACTTATATTCACAAATATAAAACATAAAATGTAAAAATATTCATTAATTCACATTCAAATACAAAAATACCTCATAAATAATAAAAACCAAAACATATAAGTATTACACAAATAAAATGTACAAATCGAAATCTTTTATATACATTCTGAGAATACTTTGCCCAAGATTTGTCTTCATTGAATATCACTGAGTCTGCCCTCAATGAACAATGTTTTGCAACTAAACTACAAAATATCAAAAACTTGTTAGAAACTCATAATAGTACTAGCAAATCCTTCAAGTACCAATTAACTACATTGTACATTATTGCGCAATGAAGCTTATGGATGTGAATATGATTACTTCATGGTGTTTCTTTGCTTTATGTAATCTTTTCCAGTTCATGACATATCATTATGTAAATGTTAATTTTTTTTTTTCCCAAGAGCTAATCCCAGAAATCTATTGTCTCATTAATCTATATGCTTTCTTTTTTTTTTTTCGTGTGTGTGTGTGTGTGTATGTAACGTTGTTGTTCCATTATACTGATGTTGCATAGATAATATCCACCTAATGGCTAGTTTCTGAATTCAATATCATAAAAGCTTGTTTCCATGAATTCTTTGTATTTAAATGCTTAGCTTCCAACGGTTAGCTAAGAAGCACAGACGAATACGACACGAACACGCTGACTTGACAATATTCTAAAACTATAGGACAATATTTAAGTAATGGACATGTGTTCCCTCTAATTGAGTCTATAATTTTTTATTTTAAAAAAAAGAAAAAAGAAAATATGTTTGGATGAGTGTCGGACACATGTTAGGTAGTATCTGATGAGTGTCGGTGTCTGACATGAACATGTCACCATTTTAGAAGTGTCCGTACTTCTTAGATGGTTAGTTTTTGTATTCTATGAATGGCCTCTCTCTCTCTCTCTCAAACACTTGAAGGGTCTTGATATTTTTGCAACTAGAGCCATCAAATTGTTATCCTCCCATCTTGTTTCAAAAAGGATATGCTCAATGGAAGTAAAAATGAGGAACATAAAATAATGAGTTCAATGGGTAGTGACAATGTAGATGAATCAATGAGAGTATATTTGGTATGCCACAATGGAATGATCGATGTTCATAACATTTCATCAATAGATTCTAGTTAAGGGAGAGCCCGCCAGCTATCTTGATTTTGAACGATAAATTAGTACGTGTCACTGACGAATCAAGAATTGCATAAACAAAAAATGGGCTGCTTAATAAAAGCTTTGATGGAGACTGCAAAATTGGAAGTCCATGACCCATTGCGTAGTAACCATATCAATGAGTCTAAAGATGACAAGATTTCGATGGATTCGATAAAGGAGGCTTCAAGTGTTTTTCTGCTCTCATTTGGGCTTCTGTTGATGCTATTGAAGTATGGATTACGCTTGTTTTGAATATGTGAGTGCTAGAAGGAAGTTTTATTTAGAAGGCCTGTGCCTTTGTTCTAGTTTGCAAAAGAAAAATCCAAAAGCTCTATGTTTGATTTCAATCCGTCTTTTTATTCGGTCCCTAAATGAGTTGCTCTTTGTGTGTTTTATTAGATTGTCTCTGTTATAAGTCTTCCAAAAATTTCAATACATGTTTATGCCTCCCTATATGTAAGCATACACTAGTAACATGTTAGCTCGATATGCATGATTCAAAAATTAAACAAATTGGGCGAATTTCACTTTATGGAAATAAGCACATAAACTCCTTATGGTTTGTGGGCTAAACATAGAATTTGAATTTGAATTTGAGTTTTGAATGTATATGACACTTGTCTGGTGAATATCATAGAGCATTGAAGGCATGTGAAATATGGAAATATGGTTTGAAGGTGCATCTGTCTTTAATATTTTTGAATAATTTGAATTTTGTTCCTATTGATGCAAGCATTCCAATGACAGGATGTAATCATCAATATGTTGTTTTTTTGGGTCGTTCGGAAATGTTAATGTGTTGCCAAAAATTGATTCTGATAAGCAAATGTAGCCTTTTAAGTGTTTTTTTAATATTTATTTACCTTATTGTTCAATATTTTGTTACTTGATATAGCTGAATGTTACCATGACTTTCTTATATTTAAATATGTTATCCACTCAACGGTTAGTTTTTGAATTTAATATCATAAAGGCTAGTTTCCATGAATTATTTGTTTCTAAATATTTATCTTTTAACGGTTAGTTTATTTGGTACATCACGAAACAAAGATATTTCATAGCATTTTATGGATAGATTTTGTCTGAGATAGAGTCCATCTGCTATGTTGATTTAGATTGACAAGAAAATTCACGTTTCGAACGAATCAACAATTGTTGAAACAAAAATGGGGCTGCACAATAGAAGTTGGGTATCGAAACTATAAAATTGATATTCGACAACCTATTACATACCATCCCAGCTTTTGAATATGACTGCAATGATGACGAGAGATGGTTGGATTAAACAGTTAAAAATTGTTTGTCACTATTTATTTGGATTTCTATTAATGCTATGGAAGTATTTGGATTATATTTGTTTTGAATCTATGAGTAGCTGCAAAATAAGTTGTATTTGGCAAGGCTTGTGCCTTTCTTCTAGTTTGGAAAAGAAAATCAGCTCTGTTCCTTCACTTGAATAACTTTGTTAGCAAATACTTATTTATTCCATTTATATATATATATATATATATATGTCTACATTCTTATAAATGTACTAAGGAATAATGAAAAAACACTTATAATTATACAGTCATGAGAAAAGCTCCATCTTTCTGGCAAAAAGTAGCTCTCTCTCTTCCTTTTTTAATTTTTCTTTATCTTTCTTGTTCTTCATCCTTTCCTTCCAGAAAATGTTTTATATTAAACCATCTTTAAATAAATGCAGTGTCTACACTTGTTACTCTTCTTACTTGCTATCAGAGCAATAGAGAAGAAAAGAAGAAGAAGAAAGATATGTATCTTCTTTTTGCTTTCATTCATATAAATTCCCTTGTGCGTTTTCCTCTTTTTTCATGGAATCGAAACTATGGCTAATTCCACCTTTGTTTTTCCTCAACCTGATGTTGATTCTTCTTCCATTCTTACTGCACCGTTCTGATAATTAACATGGTGCCATTAATCTTGTTTCCAATCCTGATTCACATGTAATTAGGATTTTTTAATGACACGATCCCAAAACCTGTTTCTTTTTTTTCTTTTTTTTTCTTTTTTAGAATTTAATTTTTTATTATATCTTTGAAAACAGTCTATCATATGGTTGCTCTCTTGGTTGCCAAACTCTCTTTATGAAGGACCTTGCACATTCACTACTAGGAAACATATGTTCTACTGTCACAATTACTTATTTTTATGAGAAATATATTTATATATATTGCAATTGCACATTGTGATAGTCCAGGGTTGCCAAAAGCATTTGGAACAGCAGGAACACCATCTCCAACCTTTTGCAATGGTGTAGATAGTTGAGTTTTTATTCCACTCATCTATCTACATTTTTATAGTGTCATAAGACAGTAAAAGCTCCGTCTTTTTTGCCTTCTATTTGAAGAAAATGTTTGATTTCATTGTATCTTTTTATTCAGTCCTTAGTTGCTCATTGTGTGTGTTATTAGATTGTTTACATGATCAGTTTCCAAAAATTTCAATACATGTTTATCCCTTTCCCTATATGTATATTCACTAGTAACATACTAGCTCTATATGCAAGATTCAAAAATTAAATGAATAGGACGAATTTCACTTTATGTTTTACTCCATGCGCTGTATGTGCAGTTTATTGTTTGATACTTGGAAATAGGCACATAAACCCTATGCTTTGTGGGCTAAACATAGAATTTGAATTTGAATGTACAAGACACTTGTCTAGTGAATATCAGTGTTTGAAGGCATGTGAAATATGGAATTATGGTTTTAAGGTGCACCCATCTTTAATATTTGAATAATTTGAATTTTGTTCCTATTTATGCAACCATGCCAATGACAGAATATAATCCTTAATATATTTTTTTGAGTCGTTCAGAAATTTTAATGTGCTACCAAAAACTGATTCTGTGAAGCAATTGTGGCCTTTTAAATGTTTTTATATTTACCTTAGTATATTGTTCAATATTTTGGTACCTTACATGATGTAGATGCATCTACAAGGAATGTAATGTAGTATGGATAATATGATACAGGGGACTTCTTTCTTGTAACGGCTAGTTTTCAGATGAAATTTACCATTCTTAAATGTGAATAAAATACTCATGCATCTGTATATTTGATGTGTATATATTTATGTACAAAAATTAATTTAAAATTGAGCAAGAAAAAAATGGTAATATTTTCAATGAAAATGAAACAGAGATTTCAATCCAAAAGGAAAGATGTTGATTTTTTACAATACAACATGTACCCACTTCCATTTCCTGCAAAACGGACCAATCAATTGTTTACTTAATAAATTGCTTAACTTTAGAAGATTTGGCACTTTATTACTTTGTTTGCTCACATCATTATGTTGTTGAACAAAACAGAAGATTTGAGGTTCATGTAATCAGTGAAGTCCCAGACACACCAAGCCAATTGAAGATTCATTGCAAATCAAGCGACAAGGATCTGGGAGTGCAATTGAACAACGGTCAAGATTTCCGTTGGAGTTTAAGGGAAAATTTCTTCGGAACTATTCTCTACTTCTGCAGGTTCTGGTGGAATACCTTGGAGCGCCATTGTCAACGACAAGAGGAGCTGTGGCTTTGTGTCTGGTCAGTGAGACCAGATGGTTTCTATTTAGGAAATGGTAATCCAAATTATTATACTAAAATGTATAACTGGCACATTCCTATGCACTAGCTAAGCTATCAAGCTTTGCATTTTGGGGGTTGTTTGTGCAATGATTGAACCATGATGTAGAAAACAAACAAAAATACGAAAAGAACTCAGGTCCTTTGAAATAGTAAATTTTGCTTTAATTCATTTAATTGCAAGTCGGGCTGTTGGATCCATTGCGGCCCACATTGTCTCGTTATTTGCCTCGTTTTCCTTGGTTTATGTCAAGTTCTTCTTTAGCCATCCCTATAATTTTTTATAATTTTAGAATTATACATATCATTCATGGCTCTGTTAACATTAGTTGTTATGCGTAAGGGGTTTTGTCCAGTTCTACTCCATGATGTTTATTCCCATTTTTTTTATTTGTTACCTTCCCCAAGTAAGTATGTGAGATTTATTTACATTTATTTTTTATTCATTGCCTTTTGATCATTTTTATTCGTTACGTCCTAGGTATATGGCATATATTATGGACACTAATGAAGAGGAGAGAGTTAAGGTATTTTTCGCGTGTCTAGTTTGCTGTGCTATCATTTATGGCCTTATATTTAAGCAGTTCAAACGGTATTCATTCTTTCCATTCATTTATGCTTTAGAATTAAAGCTTGCTTATTTGTCCATGTTATGCAATCTTATTTCAGGGTAAAACAGTTGAAGTAGGAAGAGCACATTTTGAAACAAAAACTTCAAGATTTATAATTCTGGATGCTCCAGTAGGCTGCCCTCTGCCATGTTATATGCATACATATTTATTTGTTTTTCTTTTTATAGTTCAAGGAAAAAAAAGCATAGACCATATATCATTTGCAAATTTCGGCTATTTCAAAGGCCCAGCTGAAGCCTCTGTTGATGTTGTAATGTTCCTTGGTATTCAGTATCCTACATAATCCATCTAATTTCTTGCTTTTTACATAGCTAAATATTTTATGAAGGTTTGGTAGTGTTTTCATCAAATATGGGTCATTTTCTTTAGGGAATTTGGAGACCTTACTTGCAAAATATGTTTTTGCTAGCTACCGTCATGGATGTGAATGTTTTTATTTCTTTTTAACATTTAGAGTAAGGAATTAAGGATCCCACTTTTTTTTAACCCTTGGAATTTTTCTGATTCGAATAAATCTGTAATTGTCTGCCCAACACCCTGCCTCTGCCTCTCTAGTGTGCGTCACTTCTTCTCAAAGGAAAAGGAAAAACCAAAAAGGGTCAATTTACTTGCAATGTCTCTTAATACATAGCTTTGATCTAAGAAATGTAATGGCTATTTACATTCTAGTTCTTTCTAGAGCATCCTCTTCAAATATAAATCCTAGTTTATTTTAGTTCTTTATCATTGATTAGTTTCTATTTCTTTTCTTCCTCAGGTACAACTCATTCCGAAAGAACCTGAGAGGAAATCATTATCAGCAACACATGCAAACAATCTTCAATTTTTTTTCCTCCCCAGTGAGACGGATCATCTTTGGTTAGTAATATTTCTTTGCAAAATAATTTAAATAATTAACTACCTAACATCAACATGTTTATATTTCTACACATTTGGAAGTATTCAAGTTATTTGGCGCATCTGACATGCATACTTTAGTCAGTTTGAATATTCATGTAAGCTTATCAGTAACTTTTGCAAATTCCTTGTTCTTAAACAAAGTAAATAAAAAATGAGTTTCTTAATTAGGTGAATAATCCTTGTATATTTAAAAAGTTGAGAATGTGACAATGTGAACCGGTGTTTCTTTAAGATGTAGAAGTGTATAATCTTCTAATGACTATCTTATTTTGCAGGTCCTTCAAAAATATGTGAAGAATTGGATATCAATTGATGTACCATTCCAGGATAAGTGATGACATACCACTTGACAAAGATACTAGCTTTGAGATTGCAACTTGATATGCCAATTTTTGAAAGGTTTTTAAAAGCAGAATCAAACAGTTTGCAAACTTTGAATTTTTATTTTTGTAAAATTTTATTTTCTATGTACTCATTATGATTTGGGAATAGAGTATCTTTGATGTGTGGATGTCAATTTTTTTCTTTTTTTTTTATATGATTGGATGACATTTAATTTTTATGCATTTTTAGCTATCCCAACTATGATTTTTAGCGACAAAAATGTGTGGTAGAGAAAGTTATTTGTCTTTTAGCAACCGAATATAGTTGTCATTAAAAATGTCGTTCTTTTGTTTTTCGCTACCCAATTGGGATATTTTGTGACGAAGTATTAGCGATCAAATGTTTGTCTTGTAAAATCAAACATTTTGTGACAATATAAAATTGGTCGCTAATTGTCATTTTCAGTGACATTTTCAAACATTTGTCACTAAAGACTTTTCTAGACGCACCTTTAGTGACTGTTTTAGTGACAAATTTAATTTTGTTACAAAAATCATTTAGAGACCAAAATAATGGTTTTAGGGACCAAAATAATTAGTCGCCAAAAGTCTTATATGTTGTAGCGTTGCTTGCTCAAATCATGTTCTTGCACAACCCCAACCCTTACCCTTGAGGTTCATATCATCAGTCAAGTCCCAAACTTTCCCAGCCCATTGAAGATTCGTTGCCAATCGAATGACGATGATTTTGGAGAGCATTTCCTGAACTATGGTCAGGACTTCCATTGGAGCTTTAGGGAAAATGTTTCAAAAACAACTCGCTTCTTCTGCTGATTCCACTACAAGAAATGTGTTTTGGTGGCATATTTTTAACAGTGTTTTTTAAAACGTTATTGTTTCTAATATTTAACGGCATTTCATAAACGACGCATTTTTTTTTTAAATTAAATCGATGCTGTTTCACGAATAGAAGACCTTTATAATTGCCTTCAAATGGTTGTCTCATGTCTCACACACTCCCCCCCTCTCTCTTTTCACCCTTATTTTGAATCTTCAAATCTTGAGCACTCTCTCTCTCTCTCTCCGTTGTCTAAACCCCATTAATATCTCAGAGCCATTTCATCGGTGATTCATCGGAGCTCCACTGTCTCAAAATCAAAGTTCATCTCAAAATCGAAATGAAGTTCATCTCAGCAATTCAGATCGGTGAGCTCCACTCTCTCTCTCTCTCTCTATCTCTCTCTCCCTCTCTCTCTCTCTGTTGTCTAAAACCCTAATTATCTCAGAGATTCAGCTTGGTGATTCAAAGATTCAAATCGGTCTCAGTGAAACAGATCGGTGATTCATCAGAATCATTTCGAAGTTCTCTCTTGAAATCGAAATCGAAATTGAAGTTCATCTTAGCGATTCAGAACAGTGTTTTAAAAAAACGCCACCTATACTAATCTGGCGATGTTTTTAAAATGTCATATTGCTACAGCGACGGCCGCATCTTCGGCATTTGGTACTAAACGTCACAAAAAGAATTAGCGGCGTTTTTTACACCTATAGCGGCATTTTTTAAACTCCATTAAATGTAAAATTTCCAGCAATGTTCCAGTGGAATTCAATGGACACAAGCTTTGATGTTTTCTTCAAAACTTTGGTAAATTATTGCCAAACACCCAATGAGCCTTGGATGTGTTATTGGGCAGTAAAACTGGATGGTTTCTATATCGGAAATGGCAGCTTGAATTGGATAAAGTTATATACCTGGTGATATCTAATGTTACTGTTTTTTGAAAAAACAATAATCTATATGATTGAATCGTCATACAGAAAAACATAGTAATTCAGAAAAGAAAAGAAAATTTCTATATGCTTGACTATTTATGTTTAGTTTTTTTTTTTGTCAACAAAAAACCATTTATTAATGGAATAAAATTACATAAATACAACGCAGCGGGGAAGGGGGGGAAGTTGCATCAAAGTAACCACTACAGGGATTACTTTCCAAATGTCTCTAAATTTCTTTTTAATGGAGGTCACTTGCTACCATACGAAGAGGTCTTGAATCGAACTGGGTGTTACCCAAACCATTCCCCACCAGTCTATGGCAGCAGAGCAAATTTTCATGACTTTAGAGCAATGTAGAAGGATATGGTTCACCGTTTCAAATGTATCACCAAATTCCATGCCAAGCTAGCCAGCTAAAAAGTTGAACTGTGTGTGGTGCAAGATTCCCTCAAATAAAAGATGAAATTTTTAGTCTCGGCCCAATAGAGGAGACAAATTCCTTGTAGATAGATTGAACTGAGAAGCATTTCGTTGGACAAGCACTTATACTACTATTTGATGGGAATAAATCTTTGATCATGAAGTCTAATCAACTCTAGTATTCAATCATAAAACGATGATTCTATCAAGTTGTGGAGTTGCTATTTTATTTTATTTTATTTTTAAATTTAAAATAAATCAAGAAAAGAAAAAAAAAACAGTTTGTCAAAAAAGCACGTGTATATAATGGATGCAATAAAAAATTTAAGATTTGCAATTAGAACCTCCCTCCTTCACAACACCGCTTGGCCACCACTTCTTTCCCATTCTTAGCCATTATCGTGGCCTTCTCTTTCCTTTTTGGCCACCGCAGGGGCCTCATTTCTCCTCCCAACGCTTTCCGATCACCCCCATCACCTCCTCTTCCATCCTCATTAGCTTCCCCTTCCATCTCATATTTGCAGTAGTTACATTAACTTGTATGTTTATAAATGCATCATATAAAGTTTAAATGAAAAGTGAAGGAAATTGGATCAATATTGGCTTCTTTAATTAACTCAAATCTAATTCATAATCAACTAATTGGTAGACCTTGCATATGAGTGGTGGCGTTTGGTAAAACTTATTTTCAATTTAAATAAGCTTTTGGCTTAAATTAAGCTGTACGAGCACGAAATAATTCTTCTCGTATAATCCTGTTGATCAAGCTTGTGCTCCTCCTTACGTCGTCACTTTGCCACCTGAAAATACAAACGTGAGCTAACCGCCGAGTGTGTGCTGGAAACCCCTCCGATGCCTAAGTCAGCACAATAGACAATAGACACAAAAGCTCTGTGAATTCAGGAATCAAAGTTGTGTCACCTCTCCATAGGTGATGTTATGAACTTTTATAAGTTCCGTGTGGCACAATCTTAGCAGGACTCTTACTCCTCCATGTAGAGTCCTCCTAGGAATCATACTCCTGAAAGATAATGCTTATCCTTCAACACCCCCCTCACTACTTAAACCAAGTGAGATGGTTTTACCCCGGTTGGGTGACAGTACGACCGAGCTAACCCAGCTCATATCTTCTCTTCAGTGCCTGTATCCTGGTTAGGCATATTCCAACCGGGCTGTTAACTTAAGACCGAGCTAATCAAGCTTGGTGCTCCAATGCGTAATGCCAAGCTAGCTCGGCTCTCGTTCAGTTGTACCTCGGTTGCCCCTTGAAAATTGGGCTAATCTACAGTAAGCTATGATTGCGCTTAACCAGAGCGAGGTCCACCGTGAGAAGCCATCATACCTCGGCTCCAAATGCTAAGACCGAACTAACTCCACTCTGATCGTGGTGATTGTCATTCCATTTGGACCGTGCTAACACTACGGTCCACTTGCCAAGCCCTTTTCTACCGCGGCCCATAAAACGGCCCATTACTCAACTCGGCCCAATTTATTTATAAATTACCCTCTCATAAGCTATATTGGTGTGTTTGGTACAACTTATGAGGATAGATTATGGCTTAATTTAAGCCAAATTTCGACTTAAATGGAAAGTTGCTATTGGGGTGCTTATTTTTACAAGTTATGCGCGCAGCTGTTTTGGGAGGAGCAAAATGACTTAAATGTCCCTCCTAATCTCCATTATTTACGAAAATGCCATTATATATACCCATCTGAAAACACTGTTCACTCTCTCTCTCTCTCTCTTGATGAAGGCGATTTCCGGCAGTGTAAAGGCGATTTTCAGCGTGTCGAGGTAATCTCCGTCATTGCGATCTCAAGGCATCCGACACTCATTTTCTCTCTCAACACAGCACAACATCCATCGTCGCGACCTCTCTTCTTTCTCTCTCTCGCGATCGAGTGGAAACCCTAGCGCCGTCGTCATCTCGATCTTTCCCGTCGCGATATGCTCTCGCGTGATCTGCTCTCGCGCGATTTTCTCTCAAAGCTCTAGAAGCTCTCGAAACCAGAGGAAACCCTAGAAGCTCTCGAATGTCCTTCATACTTTGAAGTAATTACAAGTGAACCAGGTATACAAATAAAATACACTCATTTTCTCCCTCTCAGGAAAGGACTCTGGCGATTTCTGGTGGACAGAAACGATTTCAGACGATGGATGGAGCGACGATGTGGGGTCAACATAGCATAACATCCATATCTACTTCGTCGCGACCTCTCTTCTCTCTCTCTCTCTCTCGCGATCGAGTGGAAACCCTAGCGCCGTCGTCATCTCGATCTTTCCCGTCGCGATCTGCTCTCGCGCGATTTGCTCTCAAAGCTCTAGAAGCTCTCGAAACCAGAGGAAACCCTAGAAGCTCTTTCTCTATCTCTCTCTCGCGCAATCTGCTCTCGATCTGCAATCTCACACTCTCTCTCTGCGTATGGTTGGGTCGATCTCGTCTTTCTCTCTCGATCTGATCTACAATCTCACTCGATCTTGTCTCTCTCTTTCTCTGTTGCAGTCCACTGGTGTGACAACCGTCACCTCTGATTAGTGCTAATCTATGATTAAGCATGACACGTAATTGAACAGACTGAAATTCTGAACTGAACACATGAGTATGTTGCTTGATTGCATTTTCTATCTGTTTGTCATAAATTGAACTGTTCATGTTTTTAGTTTCGAATTGCGAATTGAAAGCCTTATCGGCGGCCGATTCAGAAATTGATTGGTGTTATTTGTTAATTAGAATTTATGTGATTTTATGGTAGATTTAATTAAAATTTGATTTGGAATGATTTAATTAGATTAATTAAAGTTCAATTACATTAGTTTGCATTTACTACCATTTTGCCATTGGGTGGGCTAATGCTAGGCCACTACTTCTCACACTTCACACATGTTTGCTACATCACACTTCAGCCCTCTTCTTGTAAACGTGAGAGTGAGGGAGAGAATTGGGAGAAGTTGAATTCAACAAGGAGTTTTGCTTGGAACTTAGGAGAATTTGAAGGAAATTTGAG